CCCTCCCCGCGGGACCCCCACCGTCAGAGCCTCCGTGACACCATGGCACGTTGGAGCTGAGGGCCGCTGGACCACAAGCCCTTGGCAGAGGCTGGGCCCCCCGGTCGCCTCCGCGCCCAGAGACCGCAGTGATGGGCAGGAAGCGCTGCACAAACCCCAGCGCTGGTGCGACGCACGCCATGTGCAGAGCAGCTCAGAGCTGCAGAAAAAGTGGCTTGCTTCGCAAAAAATTAGGGCGACAGGCAGCGAGGACATGAATCGCAGAATCACACAAGGGTTTGGGCTGGGAGGGACCTTACAGATCATCTCGTTCCACCCCCCACCCTGGGCAAGGACCCCTTCCCCCAGCCCAGGGTGCTCAGAGCCCTGTCCAGCCTGGCTTTGAACCCTGCCAGGGAGGGGGCAGCCACAGCTCCTCTGGGCAGCCTGGGCCAGGGCCTCGCCACCCTCAGAGGGAAGAGTTTATTCCTTAGGTCTGATCTAAATCTCCCTGCTTTCAGCCTGAAGCCATCCCCCCTTGTCCTGTCACTCCAGGCCCATGTAAAAAGTCCCTCTCCAGCCTGCAGCCCAGCTGGGCTGGAAGCCGCGTCCTCCTTCACCCTCTGCTCCTTGGTGAGATCTCCTTGTTTATTATTTTGTTCGCTGTTTCATCCTACTGTGTAAGCAAGCTCAAAATGTCCTGCTCGGAGCCAGGGGCCCAACCTTCCTTGGCTCAGGTCTCCGTGTGGAAACGCGTTACATTATTCACTTGTGACCACATTTAAAACAATCTCAGTATAGGTCTGGGCTCCTCAGGGCTGTCACGAGCTCCTTGTAATGATTAAAAGCGGTAATAATTGCATAGTTGTTAGTCATGGTAGGTGAGATACTGTCCATGAGACTTTCTGTGGCTCCGGTTGTTCTCACCTCCCACCAAACCCATCTCTGGGCTGATCCCGGGGCAGGGTGATGCCCGGGGGGCCGGGACGGGGCTGAGTCCTGGGTCGAAGACCATGACCATGGTGGGAGATGGGGTTGATGCTGGGACAGGGTGATGCTGGGGGTGGGGGCAGTCGCGGGACCCGCAGCCCGAGGCCGGCCCCCCACAGCCCGCCGAGCCC